CAAAATAATTTCAGTGCGGTAGGCAAAGAAGCCTTTGCCACACTGAACAAATACAGTCCAGCTCCCCATCCACTACTAAATCATATCAGTGCTTGGCAGGGAACAAAGTTGGGACATGAATATTTTATTTTATACAGCTATGAAGTAATAGAAAATCCTGCAAAATGAATACAGTAGCCATTTGTTATTTTAAAACCTGTGTGGGCTTCTGGTCCAGAGAGCAAACCAAGATCTCTAGTTCTATTTCTGATGCAGCATGTGCTTTGTGCCTTCTACGACTTTGATAAATTGCTACTCAGAATCAATATCAGAAGTGCACCACTCTTGTTCTTTTAGGTTTGGAAAGCAGATATTAACTTGTCCTTTTGTTTATCACATTGTGTTTTATGCCTCCATTTTAAAATAAAGATGTGAGTTAAAAGACAGTATCTAGCATTCACTCAAAAGGAGGAAAGCGGTTGGACACTGCTGTAAATATGAAACCTGCAGCAGCACTGAGTGAGGGCTCATTGCTTCTGTGTTCACTGGAGGGAAAAAAAGAGGAGGTGCAAAAGAAAATTTAGCATGAATAATAGAGTTGACTCTAATAATAGGGGTCAGAGCTGTCACTCCTCAGGTAGGTGTGGCTGTTCCTAAGTAGTTCTTTATAGCTGGGACAACAAGCTGGTCTCTCCAGATGAGGAAATGCCACTCATTAGGAGACAAAATTAAACAGGTCACTACAAGAGGAATGTGTACAAGTCGCTATTGAGCAATTACTGCTTTTTGCCCACTCAGAAATAATTGTCACTTTATGTTCCTCGATCTCTGACCAATAACTGCACAAACCATGGCTTATTCTTGTAGTAACTGATTTCTGGTGTTCATTTGATTCTGGTTTAACTTTATGTGTTTTAAACATACATTTATAGGAAGAGATCTGTCATCAAGCTTCAACACTGCCTGGTCAGAGGGCTTGGACAGGGAGAATAAAGCATTCACTTCTGGTGTGCCTTCCCACAGCAGTGCAAAGAAAATAAGCAATATTATGGAGTAAACTAAGAGCAGAGAAGTAATGTTACATTTTGCCACTCAGTTCAGGCTAAGCAATTTTATTCATGATGTTTTTTCCTGTCACTGGATGTCTTTCCTTATTACTCTAAAGTCAGCAAAACTGCTTGTAACAGGAAACTGAGGACAGAGTACAGATAATGATCAAAAAATAAAGCCTTAATGTGAAAATTGAGTTGCTAGTATTAGTTTCTCCATCTTCATTATATCTCGTTAGGTTTTGCTGTTGTATATTGGTTTTGGCTCAGACATGACAAGGAGATCATAGAATCATAGGATGGGTTGAGTTTGACCTTAAAGATCATCTAGTTACAACCTCTCTACCACAGGCAGGGACACCTCCCACTAGAAGCCCAGGTTAATAAATTATAACAATCCTAGAGGATGAAATATTGCTTATAGTAAATCCTACTTCTGCTCCTCCCACACTTTTCATTTAATTTGTCTCCTCTGAGTAGCTGTTGTGCTTCAGCCCTGCCCCTGTGTCTGGAACAAGCCTCTATCTTATCATACCATTTGTTTCTTCTCCTTTCAGCTCCCTTTTCTATCATCAGTTATTATTAAGCAATTTCTCTTACTTTAATGGCTTTTTGAAACTAATTAATTCATGCAGTTTTAAGTTTCTTTGCAACTGTCTACTCGTTGGTAGTAGGGTACTGTCACCAGAATGGACTTTTATTTCATCTAGTATTGGACATCAGCCCCCAAAAACACACGTTGAAGCTTGTAAAAAGCACTCTTTCCAAACCCTGAGATGGCCAAAGGCAATATCTGCAACAGTGCCTGTAGAAACTCCACCTTCATAAAAACAGTGTTTTTCTTTTGAACCTACTTCAAGCAGTCATCAAACTCTGAGTGAAAACTAATTTCATTCTCTATTTTAAAGATGTAACACTAGCTTGTGCCTCAGACATCACTAATAAAACATCTCTGTAAACCCCTTTAGTTCAGTAAGAGTTCAGAGTTCAAGGATGCATTTTTTTATAGCTGACACTAAACATTGTATGTCTACAGACTCCATTTTCAAGGAAGAGTGACTTGAGGGGCTTCTGCATTCAAATGTGTCTGCACTACAGATTGTGTGTCCTTCCTCCTCCTTCCTCTTCTACACAGGAAGACGTGTATCTTTCTGATAATTAATTAATCTTATAGATACTTATTCTTCTAGTATCTCTGATCAGCTCCAGTTCATTGTGATAATGTAGATGCATTGAATTTGTGCAGAATCAGAACACATAAAGCTTTGATGTGCTAATTTTGCATACCAGGTTATCTTGCTAGGGAGTCAGCTGAATTTTTAATTCCCTACAACTCCTCCCTCCCAGGCAACAGGTCAAAAGAGGTGATTCTAAGACTCCCTTGGGTTTCCAGCTCTGGGGTCTAGCACAAGAAAGGTGTGGTCCTGTTGGAGTGGGTCCAGTTCAGACCCTGAAGATGCTCGGAGGGCTGGAAAACCTCTGGTATGAAGCAAGACTAAACGAGTCGGATTGTTCAGCCTGGAGAAGAAAAGGCTCCAGGGAAACCTTCTTGTGGCCTTTCTGTACTTAAAGGGGCCTGTGAGAGAGATGGGAAGAGGTATTTTCAGTGGACCTGTTCCAGCAGGAGAAGGAGTAATGGTTTTAAACCGAAAGAGGGTCAATTTAGATGAGATATAACAAAGGATTTTTTTTACAATGAAGGGGGTAAAACACTGTCAGGGAGGTCATTGATGCTCCATCTCTGCCAATATTCAAGAGCAGGTTGGACAGGGCTCAGAACAACCTGATCTAGTTGAATATGTCTCTGCTTATTCCAGGGGGTTTGGATTAGAAACGTCCTTTCCAACCCAAACTATCACATTTTGTGATTTTCCTGGCTTCAGTTTTGTCTCAAAGGAGGTATTAGGCAAGGTGTCTAGTTACCTCAAATGCAGTACATTAATGCTTTCCTACAGGGATCTCACATTAATAAAGCAGGTGGGTCATTTCCCATCTGTCATATTTACAGAATCCAATATCCCAACATCCTTTATACAATTCCTGTTTTATATACTTCGTCACCTCAAAGCCAGTGGTTGAGCACAGACATGGCCCATGTTAATTTGCTTGTGGGATGTGGCAATAACACCATTTACAGAAGAAAGGAACCATGAGGTTCTCTGAAAAGTCACCTAGTTCAATGTTCAAAGCATGATCAACTGTATTTATCAAACTCCTCCAACATCTATCTAATCTGTTCTTAAGAGACTTTCATTCACGGATTTTCACGCTGCCCTTCTCAATCCTTAACTACTGTAATCAGTAACCCGATTGATTTTGTCTTACGAGAAGAAACATGTTCATCTGGTTTATTGTTATCTTAATCCTTTCTACAATGGCCTTTATGAACCTGTAAACTGTTATGCCTGATGCAAGCACTTGTCTTCAGTGCAGAGCAGGCTGGAGGTGTTGTCAGCACAACAAAGTCACATTTAGAACTGCTGTATCACTATAATGTATACTAAACAGATTAAAGGCTGCATTTTAAGAGGTGTTAGAAAGTAATTCAAGTGAAAAATGTCAGATGAGAGACTTTTTAGTTGGGCTTCAGAGAAGCCTGTTCTTGACCCAGGGCTGCTTTGTTAGCCCAAATAATTATTTGGAATTATATGAAGCACTCTTATGAAATCTGCAGATGACTTCAAAACAGCCCAAGGCCACCTGAGCCCCTTGAATAACACAAGTTTTAATCCACCTACACAGGAAATATCTATGCATCAAAGCCGAGGTTGCTGTCTGTTCATAGGATAAAAATACAAAGCATGTTTTTGGGCTGGGTGTGAGGGAGAAGAGTGCTGTATCTTCAAAAGCAATGAATCAGATGAGGGCTGAGGAGGTCACAAGGGGTAAATGCATGAATGCTGCCAGTGCAATGTGGCAGCTGCAACAGCAAATGCAGACATCAGGTGTGTAAGCAGAAATATTACCCAGTGGTAAGTGCTAGGATGTGGCCATGGCCATTGCATGGCACAGGAACGTGACTGTTCCGGAATCACCATGAATGATAGAAGGTGTAACAAACTGGAAGGTCATTAGGAACCCAGAAGAATGAGTCAGTGGAAAAATCTGGGCTGTACAAAGGTGATAGGTAATTATCTACCCAGCAAAAGCATAGCAGAAAGGCGCTGTTATCGTGCACGGCGAGATCCCCTCGCTGGAGAAGGAAAACGTTTGGTGGTTAAAAATTACGGCATTTTCCACACATTGCCTTCCTACAGGATCCTTTAATTTTTGGAAAGATAAGCCCCTGAAACCCTACGTATTTCAGTGCACTGAGCAGTGCCTGGCGTGAGCCCAATTTAGCTGCCGGTGACAGCCCCCTCCGCGCTGGCGTGGGGGTCCCGGCGGGACACGCTTCTCATGGAAAGCACCAAGGGTGCTGTCACCTGCTCCCAGGTGGAAGAACTGCCCTCATCTGGGAGCTTTGCCTGTGCAGAACAGACGCCACGGCTTTTCAGCTTCTAGTAGGGATAGGACTGGAATGCAGCCGGAAAGCTAAAACAGAGGTATGGAACAGTTGAGGAGACAGCGGTGAACAAGGACGGGGTGAATCTGTCCGTCAGGTCTTTAAGCAGTAGCTGTTACCGTATAGCAAAGGCCCGGTGCCGACATCCCCGGACCGCGGCACTGTTTGGCGAGCCCGGCACAGCCCCGGGGGCTGCACCCCAGGCCACAGCAACCCATCCATCGAGCTCCCAGAGCCCCGTCCCGGCTGCGGCGGAGCCCGGCCTCGGGCAGCGCCCGCCCCCTCCCCCGCCCCCGCCGCCATGTTGTGGGGCCGAGCGCCGCGGGAGGCGCAGGGGCCGCGGCCCGGCGGAGCCGCCGCTCGGGGCAGCGCAACAGGTACCGGGGGGCGCGGGCTCGGCGGGGCCGCTGCGGGCTCCGCTGCCGCCTCCACTGCGGCCTCCACTGCCGCGACCCGCTTTACTTATTTTTTTATCCTTTAGCTGAGTCTGGGCTCTCCTTTCATTTTCTGATTTTTTTTTTTTCTTCCTTGGGTGGGGGTGGTGTCTGGGGCTTTGGGCGGTAGCGGCGGTGGCTCCCACTGCCGGCGCCGCCGCTGCTCGCCCGCGCTCCCTCAGTGCGCTGCGAGCGGAGAGATCCCGGTTCCCGTGCCCACACAGCTCCCGGAGCGCCCTGCTGAGGTGAGGTGACTCGGACGCGTTCGTAGAGCCCAGTTCCGTGTGGTGATGGTGATTTTGTTCCGTCTGGTTAACTGTGAAGACCCGGAGTTTGGAGAAACCGAGGTGGTTTCTGCAGTTAAAGTTTACAAACTGTTCTGCCTGTAAATAGACCGGCTTTTCTCGATCTCGACTTCTCACCGCGGCATGTCGTAATTCAGAAAATAAAATGAGGCTGAGGTACGTGATTCGGTTCCCAAAATATTAAGGTCCCATTTTGAAAACAGCAAAAGGTTTTCAGGGCAGATGGGGCTTTGACATCTGTCCCATTGCAGAACTCGAAAGTAGATCGTGCTTTAAGATAGTGCCTGCGTTCTGTGAAGTTATTCTTGCAGCGGTTCTCATAAACATCAGTAGGAAATTCCCCATCTAAAACACGGGAGTGAGAAGTCTCAAGCTTCTTTGCCCTTCTGTCCAGGCTGCCCTGTCGTGTGCATCGCTCTTTTGGGAAAATTATGTTTTTTTGAACTCGTTTGCTGTTGGTGCTGGCCTGTGGTGGCCACAGCTCCCACGCCGGAGTGTGCACAGGCAAACTCGGGGGTGAGTGAAGCAGAACGTGCTGTGGGTAACATCGGTGGCACATAAATTGCTGCTCGCTCTCGAGAACTTTTATTCATTCCTCTGCAATTTGCTTGTAACAAACATCTGTATCCACTGATGCGACAGCGACATGTAGAAGCAATGAGTGCTAGGAACTAATTGGATAAATAGCTGCCTGGGTTTCGTTCTGCAACTAAACCCGGTTCATTTTTGTAAACTTGTTTACACTCTACCTCCTCTGTTTTGTTGACTGTACTTTTTTATTCTGATTCAGCTGGGTGGGGCATTCACACCATCGTACCTCTGAGTATTTAGAGAAACCCTAATTCAGACTCCGGGCTATGTGTGATGTGAACTGCATGATACCTGCAGACATGGAGAGACAGGCTGCTCTGTGCTCTCTTTGAACAGATTTTTTTGTTAGATTAGCTTCCTAACTCAGATGCCTAAATTAGATCAAGTGAATATGCTTATCCTTTTAATTACCATCCTGAGGGAATTGCATTTACTTTTTTATCCTCCATCTGTACAAGATCTGGGATACAGGACGTATCCCTGGCTGAGTTGTAGTTGTCACTGTAATAGAAACAAAAAAGGATGTTCTTATAGCAGTTACAATAACAAAATGGGGTACGTGTAGCCTATTGGTGTTAATCATAAAAATAACAGGATTATCTACTGTAGGTGCTGGTCAAAACACCAAAGCTTTATGAGTACTTACTTGTTTAACCATTCTTTTAGACAGAATGAGATAGATCAAGGTGGAAATGATGCATGGATGATTTTGAATTGTGTTTTTGGAAAGGCTTTGTTAATTGAGATTCAGGTGTTATAGTGATTTGTACCACAGCAGTACTTACAGTAAAGCTTTTTACAAATATTTTTGCTGTAGTCTTTAATGTTGAAAAGTGAATTAATTTCATGCCAGAGGAAAGCAGCTATGAAAACTGAGCCCTAGTCTGTAGGTGATAGTATTTCTTCATTGAGCTGCTTGTCAGGAGTTGGTGAGGAAAATGAGGCAGCATTTGGAAAGTGAAAGGTGTGCATGCTTTGTTTGGGGTGTTATCAGAAACCTTCACAGCCTTTGAAAATAGGCATCTGTCAGGAAAATACCTCAGGATTAGTTCCTGAAAGGCAGTGAAGTCCAGATTAGTTCCTGTTGCAAATTGAGACAGATGTCCCTAGTCTGAGAGATAACCTGTTAGTTAACAGTTTGCAAGTAAACTGTCTGCTGTTGTCTCAAAAGATTTAATTTGATCAGCATGCAAAATATGTTAAAAAAAGCATTTAATGACACTTTTCTTTTAAAAGCCAGAGCTGGTCTCTTTGCCTTTTTAAAACTGGTTCAAAAATTTGACATCTTTATTTGTAATGTAATTTCTGGCCTATTTTCACTTGAAAGGAAAAATCTCCAGTATCTCAGTTTTTAAAAAGCTTTTACCTGTTTCCATTTATTTTTATTTACCTCAAATGTAGTTATAGAATAATATTGTTTTGAAGGGACTTCTGGAGGTCCATCCCAAGAAAAGCATGATTAACTCAGGTCACTCAGAGCCATGTCTGGTTGTGTTTGGATTACCTCTGAGGCTGGGGATCCCAAAAACTCACTGGACAGTCCTCTTCAGTTTGGTACCCACACTGGATCAGAGAATATCCCATCCCTTTGCCCAGACTGACAGTGAAGACATTAAACAATTCTGGCCATGCTGTCAGCTCCTGGGGAGCATCATTGGTTCCAACCAGATGGATTTGGGACTACTGACCACAGCCCTTTGAGTCTGGTTTTCCACCCAGTTTACAGTCAACATTTTCAAACTATATTCCACCAGTTTGGCAGTAAGGATACTGTGGGAGACCATGTTAAAACCCTTTGTAGTGTCAAAATAAGTTGCTATGCCCTCGTTCACAGGGCTAGTCATCTTAAAGATGAGATGTGGCTTGTCTTCAGTAGCCACCTGCCATTTCCTATCACCTTTTTCTTCTTCGGGTACCTGTAGGTGGGTCCCAGGAGGATTTGCTCCATAATCTTTCTAGGGTCTGAAGTAAGATTTAGCAGCCTTCTGTTTGCCTTTTTCCAGCTGCCAGGATCCTTGACCAGTCACCAACACTCCCCCCAAAATAACAGAGCTTGGTCTTACAGTGACATTAGCCAATGTTCCTGGCAGCACTGGGCCTGTGATTTGTTCCATGTATATGTATGCAAATGCTCTACTTCCTTGTCTTCAAGTTGTTTTGACTTTCAAAAGCTGCTTTCTGTTTATTGCAATGTTAAATCTCTTGGTAAAGGATATTAGATGATGGATCCTGACGTGTTTTTAAGTTTTGGGGTGACACTTGGTGCAGACAGTCCTGTGAAAATTACGAGAGCAGTAGTTGGCTGACAGAGAGTTTGGGGTGTTGCTTGGATTGGAAGGTTCATTTTATGTGGCTGAATGATTGGGAAAGTCAGTAACCCTTCTTAGGCTTTTTTTGTCTTAAGTAATGATTGGTGATTATAAAGATAAAGTTGTATTTCAAGCACTATCACTTATCAGTGAAACACTAAAAGTGTACTTTGAGGTTCAGAGGTTGAGCCTAGATATGGGGTGAAATAGAGCAGTTACTGTATTCCTCTTACCTTTAAAAACATACTGTCACTCCTTAACTTGATTTTTTAAAATTACATTTTTCTTGTGTGCCCTGGTTGGTAATAGGTGATACATCAGACTCTTTTGAAGGGAAACACTCATGTTAGAGTGCCTGGTTGGATTTCTGGAAGGGCTAAGCAGCTATTTCAAGTGATCCTGAAATTGTCAACTGCCTAGTTGCAAATATCGCAGGTATCTGAATTCCCTCTGGTATCATGTGTCTGAATCCTGATCAATATAGAACTGGGAGATTTATGTCTACGTAAGTTCAAGTTCCTTCCAGTGACAGACCAATGTAAGCCAAAATTTTAAGCCAGCTGTGAGCAGTGCAGCCTTGTTTTCTGTGGCATTGGCTGTCTGAGTTTCATCAGATGTGAGCCTGTGTTGAATTTTTTCATGTGGTCAGTATATTTAGCCATGTGGATCCTCTGGTGTCTAATACAGGTACTCAAACATACAGCAATCTCTCTCTTCCTTGAGGGCACTAAATTTGGTTGTGTCTTCTCTGTCTGGTTGCCTGCTTTTTACGAATATTATATTCAGTTGAGATCCTTGCAAAGAACACCCTTCTGTTAAGCTTGTTTCCTGTTGGATGATGGGGTTCATCAAAGTAGTTAACTACTCATGTCTCATTCTCTGAGAAAGCCAAGCTAAGAATTCAGGCATCCTGGTTGCTTGGTTACTAGAATGTTACTGCTTTCATTAATTCCCTTCTCTATCAGGATGGTGTTCAGGGCTTTTTTGTTGGTTTTGCGGTTTTGTTTTTGTTGTGTTTTTGTTGGTTTTTTGTTTGTTTTTATTCTCAGATTTATTTAAGGATAAGTCTTTAGAAAACAAATAGGAGACTTCATTTCATGAGTTCTTCTTACTTCTACCTATACATTGTTTTATTGCCCTATGATACAGGGACTGTAGTAACTCGTTTTTCTGGTACTGTTGTGTCATTAGCACCAAATGTTGTAAAGGTGAGAATTAGGTCACATAAAAATTATTATAAAGTAAAAATGGAGCTGTTGAAATGTCATTTTCCTTTAAATTCAGAGTATTTAGAACCTTGTCAGTATAGGAACATGGCCAAGTTGGTTACTTGGATTCTAGAGTTAAGATAATAGATTGAACATTAATATATAGATGAGCAGAGTGTTGTGTAACTCTTATTTTCAGAACAGCACATAAAATTCAAATGATGTAACATCATGACAGTAGCAGCACAAAGCATTGGAATTACCTAATAGAGGACAAGTACCTGAGAACTATTTTTAAACATTTTGGCAGCTACAGATAGTTGAAAAGGTGTGGTTGATCCGGAAAAGTCACAGCTTCTTTGGAGCAGCGATTTTGAGAGCAGGAGGTTTGACTTGAGACACTTTGATATGAGATGTTGCTTCAGAATTAGCAGACAGTAATTCTGAGCAGGCTCTACTAGTGAAAATGTTCAAGGCTGATGCAAGTGGAGCTTGTGAAATGCTGTGGCATCAGTCATGAGCAGCATCTGCAGTTAGTGATTCAACAGCATACACATGAAGTAAGGGAAGAACAGGAAATGGGAGTTAACTCTTCTTTGTTTCTAAAAATATTACAATTGGAATGTGAAAAAATTACCTATTATGGCTATACTAATAAATGTATCAAAAAATCAGAGTGCATTTAAATAATACTTCAGTCTTATCTTTCAAAGCTCAAGGATTTTACTAATCAAAAGCTAAAACTTTATAGCTTTTTCCACTACGCTCTTAGGTAGGACACGTGTCTTTTTAACTGAAATACTTTTGCCCCTCAGGATTTTACGCGATATTGAGATGTTTGTCTAACACAGATGATAATTGATTCCCTAAGATCATGAAATTCAGTTTTGGTGCTCAAAACATTATTACTGTATGCTCTAGAGCTCTGTGCTAAAGGTCTAAGAGACCATATTTCAACTGGATGGTTTGAAGGACTGTTCTTGATAATATAAGCATGGATGAGACTTGTGGATGGGAGTGGGGTCAGAAGCAGGAGTCTTCAGCTGGG